TGTGTGTGTGTGTGCGTGTGTGCGTGTGTGTGTGTGTGTGTGTGTGTGTGTGCCGTTGATACAGGCGTTTGTCTGCTGTGCCACGACACCATTCTCCTGACACTATCGGACCGAACAAAACGCCTGTATCAACGGACACTACGGATTCTCGACAGAGGGCATTTTCTTCAGCCGGATAGGCCCATTGCTTTTCCTTTTTTTTTTTCTTATTTGTTTTTGTCTTATTTGGGAAACAGTTACAGCCTGTTTACTGACAGGGCCTCGCTCCACTGCTCTCCACATGCACAAAAGACCAAAATATCACAGTGTATCTTTCCATGTTCTAGCGGAAGATTCATTCTCATTTTGCACATTTGGAGAGTGGTGGAGCGAGGCCCCAGGCTACCGTTGTATGGCCCTCGCTCCACCACTCTCCAAATGTGCAAAATAAGAATGAATCTTCCGCTAGAACATGGAAAGATACACCGCCATATTTTTTGTCTTTTGTGCATGAGTAGTGGAGCGAGGCCCTTGCATCGCACCGGACTACAGCTGGACTTGAAGCTTACTTGCAGCCCTCATGTGACAGAGGCACTACGACGGACGTGTGTAGTTGAGAGAGGCCCTACGGATTCTGGCGGCAGGTAAGTTGTAATAGGGCCTCACTCGGCTACTCTCCAATTTGTGCAAAATTAGAATGAATCTTTCACTAGAACATGGAAAAATACATCGCCATATTTTTTGTCGTTTGTGCATGTGTATAGCTACTGCCTGTTTCCACGTTGTTGGTTTTCAACTTGTCACGGACATTCTCTTTCGCCTTTTTTTTTTTTTTTAGCGAAAGCACCAATGAAACACAACGGTCAGTTCTATCGTTTTCTATACCTGGAAGTAATGAGCTGAAAGCAACGGTTCCACAGACACGTCTTCATCATGACCGTATTGGACCTCTGAAAGGGCTCGGATACACTGAAGATAGCATGGAGTTGTGTACAGCAAACATGACAACACACCCAGGTTTTGGGGCCGCGCGGCCCTGAAAAAAAAATGCGCGGGCAATGTCCTAATTTTGGCTGGGCGTGGGAACTTCGATTCACCCCCTCCCCAACTCTTTTTTTTCTTTGGCTGACCCCGAATTTTGCCCATGCGGCGCACCGGGTGCGCGCGCCACGTGCGCAATGCGCAGTACGCCGCATGTGGGTGAGTGGCGCGCACGGGATGCGCCGCAAGTACGGTTTTTTCATTTTTCTTTTCATCAGTGGGGATTTCCTGCACCGAGCTAAAGCAGCCCAAATCTGTGCCGTTTTCTGTTTTTCAGCATTGTCTGTTAGGGGGGGCAGGGGGGTGGGAGGAAAAAAGGGGTATAAATAGGACTTAAAGCTAGGCTGTTTTCCCGGGCGCCCGTGCACCCAACTTGTGCCTGGATACTCGCTCAGGTGCCCGGCCGGGCATGACCCCCGGGCAGGGTCCCAGGCACCCCAAGCACAAAAGGGGAGGAGGGGGGGCGGGGGGGGGGGGGGGGGGATCCAAAAAAATTCTGGAAACCTAGGCTACCAGCCGGGCCGCCCGGGACCCGGGTGGCCAGCCCGTGCAAGGACAAGGGAGGGTCCCAGCAAAAAAAAAAAAAATCCAAAAAATCCGAAAAAAAACTATGTTATGCAGAAAAATAAACTGAACAACTTGTGTGTGGCATACTGCGTAGCCACACGGGCCCTGCAGGGCCCATCCCGGACATTCAGCCCAAAAGCCTAAAACTTAGGGCTTACAGGCCCCGTTCGTTTCAGCCTGGATGCTGAAAAACGAGGGCCTGCAGGCCCTACCCCGTTTCAGCCTATATCGGAGGGCCATTTTCAGGCCCTCATTGTTTCGACCTGCCCCTAAGACTCAGGCACGTAAACAGGGATGCGGAACAGGCTAGAAATAGCCTGTTCCTCACGAGTTTGAGCAGGAGCTGCAGCTGCAGCCCCTGCCTCCCTTCGCCAGGCTCAGGAGGCACACCCGTAGTACATAGGAAGTTCCCATGCACTTCACGGGTAGGTAGTTCAGTAGGCACGAGGTAGTCTTCAGGATTCGGCCGCAGCACTCAGGAGGAGCGCTGTAGTAGTCTTCAGCGCTAGGCAGTAGGTATTAGCGCTAGCTGTAGTCTTCGGCG